TACAACAGGTATGTATGCGCCCACTCGGAAGGATTGTATCACGGCCGATAGATTTCAGTTTTCCCGGTTTCGGGAAAGAGGGCACATCACGCGAGATTTGCGGAGTCTATGGCGTTAAGAATTAGTTCTGCTTCTCTCTTTCTCTCCCTCTTTCCGACTCCATTCGCATTTTTATTCCTGTCTTTGAGATGCAAAAGAGGCGATTTAAACCACAATCCATCAACATAGGAGGCATATTTTGCTAACTCTATTTGTTACTTTGCAGTGAAACTTTTTGTTATGCTTTCAATCTTCTGTTTTCTTTTTCAAAATTATTTAACCTGAATACAGTGTATTGGTTAAAATAAAACAGTTTTCTTTCTAGGAAAAAAAAAAAAAAAATTAAAATAAAGAAATAATATTTTTTGTGCAACTAAAACTGAAAATATAATTTATGTCAGGCATGCAGTTAATTATCACAATAAACAGAATTAATTAATTGATAAAGAAAATTATGACCAAAGGACTTAAAATTGTAAATTTTAAAAAATAGTATTTCCAGTAAATAATAAGAATATTAATAAAAACTGCAATAAAATTTTAATCAAATATGTTTATTCACTGATTAACCTTAAACATAGGCTCGTTACTACAAACTTTCTTATTTTTATTTCGTAACTGTTTTGTAAAACAATAAATGGAATAAGGAATAAGAGTGCTTCGCGTAGTATCTGTTACCTCATACCCAAAAACAGATTGTCACTATTGCGCTTATCTCACATGATTTATCATGTTTAATAACTTAATTACGCATCTTTTTATTATTTTATATCACTGTTATTATTTGTCTTATAGATTTTGCTGACTATCTTTATTATTCCTTAATTGAATAACAGTGCAGCAAAAAAATGAAAGTAAAATATAACTTAAATAACTTTTAGAAACGTCAAATTTTTCCAAAAAGATAAAGACACATGCTTTACGTTAAAATCAAATACATATTAGTAATACATGTTACTTATGCATTTAATGAATGAAATTTAATAAAAAGATATTGTTAAGATGATGCACACTAGAAAAGCAAAAAGGCAACACAAATAAGTTTTTCAAAAGTTATTGCCTAAGATATTTAAAATGTTTTCTTTCTAAGTATATATTAGTTACATCATCAGAAAACTGGAAATTCGCAATCGTTTCAATTTGTTTAACTTGAAATGCGTACGGTATTTATTTCAACTACAGGTGTTTAACACTTTCTACTCATTGCTACTTGAATTAGTAAATAAATTTATTATATTCCCATTATCTTCCTTTCTTTAGTACTTCAATCTTAATATTGTTCATTGGGAATGTTCTTTGCACTTCCTTTTCGTAATATACATACATATATATATATATATATATTATATATATTATATATATATTCAGCAATCAAATAGCTTCATGCATAACTCATTTGTTATACTACTTATCATTTCATTTGTACTCTTCTGTATTTCATATCTACTTAAATGATAGAAAAGCTGAGGTTTTGATTATCAAGTGATTCTTCTCCAGAATGCTGCATGATTGATATGGCTGTCTGAGAGGAAAGCTTGAGGTGGCTAGCAGGAACCTGCAAATACATATACATCCTCGCTGTTCTTCCCATAGGAGCGCTTGGATAACAAACAGACATTGACTTCAGAGCCGGTATGGTGGCCTGGTTTGTCTGACTTGCGATATTTATACTGAAGTGTGTTGTGCCTTTTTGGAATTAGTTTCTGAGATGGTGGATACATTGCTGTTTCCTTCCTCCTGGGAAAGGAGACGTGATATGTAAGTTTCTGTGCGTAACTCCCAACATGGCGCCTCTATAAATGAATAATTGGGCTCTATGTGCTTTGCCTGATTCTGGGTCGACTGTCTAATAAGATGAAGTATTTATAGCTGGTAACATAGCGGGAAACATTCAAACAAAGCGATTTAAATATCTTCATAGAAAAATTACCATAAATAAATATTTTTAAATTTTACCGTAAAAATGAATTTTAAATAAAAGCAATTCAAATTTTTTCTGGTGAAGAATCAAACGTAAAACTTCCAAATTCTTTCATTCGTCTACATGTACAGTATAAACATTGAACTACCTGAAATTATATTGTCTTTAAACATGATATTAGTTACTAAGTATTATTTTCCATGTAATATTTAGATATTTATTAATATGTGTAAATTTTTTCGCTCTTTTTTAGTGTCATATAAACCTTTGGATTATTATTGAATATCATTAATTTTTTCCTTTACCTACAGCATTAAAAATTGTATCACAGCAAAATTGAATAAAGCTAATATAATTAAAAAATATTTCTCATCGTTCGCTTCTCAAAATTCATAGTCATATTGAATGAACTAGTGCCAAGCAAGAGCTGAATTATGCCAGTTTTTAAATTTATTCAGATGTCAATAACAAACGCAATTATCGTTCGCAGTAATGTTAGAATTCTTCTTGATATAAACAGATATTTATTCTTTATTTAATGTTTTTAATAATGTATCATTTTACGCTGCTGACCTGATTTAGAATTATATTGGTATTAATTTTGCATTTCCGAACCGCAGTATTTATCTACATCTTATACATTTAATTCTCATACTGAGACTAAGTTTCAGAATAAGAAGATTTGTAACAATCTAAGGTTGGTTAAAATATCGATTTTATAAGCCTAAAACTATTGGATAACGTTTTCATTTAAAATGAATACAGTTTTACATTATTTTAAATTTATAAAGCTATATTTAAAAATTTATTCGATATTGTTTGATAGTAAATGAATGAGTAAAATGAATTAAAAGTAATAATTTAATAATTATTGCATAAAAGTTTACTAAATTAAAATATTCTGCATAAATTTAGAATTTTTCATCATTTCATTTGAAATATCAGATTTAGTCAGAAGTTATTTAATCTTTGAATGACAAAACGTGGCAAATAACTCATTTCTTTTTCATATTCTCATTAATTATACAATTCATACAATTGACACTTTTGATCAAAATTAGAAGAGCGTAACAAATAAACAGCACTTCTTCCGAAATGCTCCATTATCCCCGCTTTCCCGTTTCTTTCCATCAGGAGTTTTGAAAATTTCTAAAAGACCTTATTTGCGAATGAAAGGGAATAAATGTTTCATGTCGACGCCATTTTTCTCCTATTGAAGCCATCATCATCAGGCAAAGAATTGAGGAATTGAGTTAATTTATGAGCTGACTGATGGAACTACTTTTATACAGATGTTAACGGAGCTTACCCTGCAAGGGAGTTTGGGAATAAAGGCAAAGTTTAAGCGATTTCGTATCGACAATTTATTAGATTTTGAGACAAGCATTTAGTTTCAAATAATTTGAGAATGTAACTGGCAACATTTTTATTCTAGAAGTTGGAAAAGAAGTTTGAAATTTTTAACTTCGCGACTGAATTTAATTACTGTTTACTGTGTCACTAGAAGATAACTTTGAGATAAAAAAAATACGTGAATATCATAGTTGATAGTTTTTTTGCGTTTTTTTATTTCTACTAAATTGTCGGCATTTCATACTTGAAGGAGATATAGTCCAAAGACTCTATAAATGCTTAAAAAAATTATCTGCTTGATCATTTATCAAAAACATATTAGCTCACGATATCACGTAGAAAGACGGTAAATTAAATACATCAGCATTGGATTTATGAAGAAACTAGTCTCGTACACAATTAAATTAAAAAAAAAAAAAAAAAATCGGAAAAGTTTCAGATTTTAAATTGCGTCTAAAGTGGCGTTCTTTTAACGTTTTGTGTGTTACCTTTATTAAATATCATGTTCTTCGCACTTAAACCATAAAATTCAGTTCAACAGTAATATCGCAAAATAATTTTAAAATGAGCATATCTTTAGAATTTTCGATACACAGTCTCGCGCGCTAGAGATATTTTTTTTCCTTCTGTACAGTGTTGCCATTGCTCGTTTTGAAAATCGTTAAGTTTGTTTATCAAAAATTCGTTAAAGTTTTACAAAGTATGAAATAGATAATAAAACAAATTCCAAATTTAGGCTTCCAGATGTCGGTATTCGAGTGGAAACGTACGTTATTCAAAACTAGAAGGCTCTAGGTATCGTTGTTTTATTACAATGTGAGAAAAATACTTACATTTATGCAGATTCTTCATTATTTAATTTCTTTAAATGTAATATAGGGCGGTAATATTTGGTGGCAATAGTTTGAAAAGTGAATCGGACATTTATCGTGAACCAACGCCAAATGCCAAAACGAAAATAATAGCCCTTCAGAGCAAATTGGCCCTTTAAAATTAAAAAAAAAAAAAAAAAAAAAAAAAAACCCACTGATAGCATTTTATAACTAAAACGTAAGTTTTTTCTCCTTTAAAAAATCCTTTTCTGTATTATTACCTTGCAGAATAGCAGCAGCTGACTTGCATGTATTGAACTCCTTGCATCTTCAGTGCTTCCGTTTTACTTTTAGTAGTGTTTTTCTTTACAAGTGATTTTTAATACAAGGCTAGTTTTAGCCGACGTAAACCATCAATGATGGCTTATGTCAATTAAAACTTAGAAGATCTCTCCTGGAAACTTACAAGACCTCTCCTGGATTGAGATTATCCAGTCCTCTTTTTCTGCTTTGAGGTCATATGTTTATTTCATGAAACATGTTACATTTATACATCTACATGTATAAAAATTTACTTTTAAATAATAAGAAAATGAAATGCTGACTTCAAATTTGACTATATCTTTCTTAAGTATGTGCTGATTCAATGTTATTTTTCTTCAATATTTTAGGTGGGATTTTCAGCAATGTGAGATTCTGCTAACTAATGATTTATGTATATTTTACTGTACATATTTACTGGTGTAATGCAAATGTGTGTTAGTATACTTTTCTTCTTAGATAAAAGCTCTATTTGTAAAAGAGTTAAACGTTTTCTTAATAGCAGATGGTAATAATTTTAAGAATTATTAAGGCTGTTTTTTTTTTTTTTTTTTTTTTTTAGGTTAGTTGACCGTTTTTTCTCCTGAAGGGACCTCCACTCATCTGGAATCTCTGACGGGAGAAACCAGCATGTATGACGCGGCGACCAACAGCTGTTCTTTCGGTCTCTCGGTAGGTCAAGTTAGCGACTTGACCACACATTCGAGTCGCCGCTCCTCATCGTCCGCCTCCGGCCATCATCACCACCATTGCGGTGGTCAACCGCTCACCCTGCCGACCGCGCCTTGCCCTCCATCGGTGCAGGTCAAGATCGAAGAGTGCCTCAGCGGCACGGCGGCCGAAGATTGGGCCGCTGGCTGCGCTTACCGCTTTGCTGCACATGCAGGGGCTGCTCGCCGTTGTTACATGGCTTCCGAAGACAATGCAAAAAATGGTGGCCCCTGCACCGCAGCCTCGACTGGGGACGTTGCCGGATCAAACAAAGTTCTGGATCCGGGAGGAGCTGGGGGTTTCAATAGCGCCCTTGCTGCCAGTTTTCGAAACAGATACCTTGGTGCCAGTGCCTTCAGTAATTTACCGGGAACACCTGCCCTCTTTCCTGGATCTTATGTGACTAGCTCGGACATGAACAAGCAAACTTTATCCAATGAAGCATCTAGCGTTTTAAACAGTAATAGTCACCCACCTCACCATCAAAATCAGAGCGGAAATTTAAGTGTAGACGGGCAGGAAGTAGCTCCGAGATCCCCACCAGTGAATTCCTCATCCTCTTCTACGTCATCCAACAGAAGCAGTCACCCAGTAGATTCGTCCAGCAATAAAGGAAAGGGTGACAGACGAGTTGTAGTTCCAGCAGGTAATCATAGTTCTATATTTTTGGACGCCTTTACTACTATAATACTATCCTAAACTTAATTTCTTAAGAGAGGAATGGAGTATCTTGATAAAGTCTTAAAGATATAATTATATCAGTAAAGGCAAAAATTCACATTCTGTTGCTAATGTAGGCATATTTTGAATTTGAATTTATGAAAAACTTTCTATGCATTTTTTTTCTGAACATGACAAGATAATTGTCGCCTTTGCGAAAGATGTACTGCCCAGTTAAAGGAGAAAAATGATTTTATAATGTAATTCCTATTACCCTTCGTTGTAAAATCCTTCTTACACTTCTTCTCAGTTACCAGACTTAAAAAGGATATAATTTAAAAAATTATTTTCTTTTCGTTCTAAAACAAATGCACTCAACTGGAAAAACGATTTTTTAAACTGTAATTAGGCGCTATCAACAGAATGCTAAATACAGATTTTTTAGTTCAGTGCTTGTTAGACTTCCTTTTTACCCTCATAAATCTGCATGCTTGAAGAAACTCTAACGCTTTGGAGTTCTATACGAAAACACATCCAAGATGATCATTTACTATATTCCTGCAAGCTAAATTCTTATCTATAGCATTCTTTTATTTTTCGAATTCATCTAATTAATTATTAGGCGTGTTTGGAATCATATAAGCAATTATTATATAAACAGATTAAATTCAGAATAGGTATTTATGAAATAAAATCTTTAAAAATAAAGATAAATTAAAAAAGTTCAACATATTGAAGATTTGATTATTACATTGTTTGTAGAAAGAGATTGCTCTTTAAAGATTAAAGTTTAACATCTGTTCAGAGACAATAAACGGAAAAGAAACCAATAAAAATCTCAAACAAAATGGCTGCAAGTATACTCAAACATTCAGATGAAAACTGTTCAGCTTTTCTATTGAGTAAATGTCAGTTGTTAATTGATAAGTTCATAAACACTATTTGCAAATTATGTAAAATTTTTCATTTATGTATAATATAGAAAATCTAATACTGCGATGGTCTTTAAATTTTTATTCCTGTTTCCTACTTTTCATTGTCACTGGCCAACGAACGGTAAAATCGTTAAGCATTGGCTACATAGGAGCTTTTATGGTTTTATGCATGCATGTTATGAGTATGATCTAGTTTTCCTCAAAATATCGTACCGTTGAGGAAACTAGCAGTTATGTTCTTAGCCTAATCCAATTCAGTGCATCAGCTTTTCATTTTTACAGAGTATTAAACTGCCATTCCCCATAGATATTCTTTTTTGTTCAAGAAGCCCACTTCAAACGGTATTTAAAATGTAAAAATATATAGAAAATGTATCATATATATATATATATATATATGATACATTTTACATATATATATATATATTATATATAAAGTAAACAATTTAATTAATCACAATAAATTGCCTAATACTTGCACTAAAGCTGCAAAGTAATAAAATAATTTATTTTCTAATAGATTATTTAGTACATCATCTCCTTTGACAAAAGTAGTGAGAATTCTATTGAAATTAAGTAACTCATCAGCATATTTAAAACTGAATCTTGAATAAATTTTAAATGAAAACATTAAAAAGGTATAATTAAAAGTGAAAATGCAATCAATAAACTCAGTAATTATCGTCACTGACAGGAAATTAGTTGACATTTCAAGGGGACACAAACTAACTTCCGATCAATTAACAATGATCAATAAATGCGAAAGTGTTTCGTCTTTTTCTCAAGTAAGAATTATGACAAAAAATCTTTTTAGTAAAGATGAGTTTAAATTAAGTAAGTTAAGTTTAAGGGAGATGCGTTTAAGTAAAATTGCTAATTAGAATTCAGTAAGAAATTGGCTGTACATCCAAGTTTTAAAATGAATCTTAAAATCGGGATATATTCTTATAAGAGTGAGTTTTATTTTACTACTTGACAAAATTGTGCCCCGACGCTTTCACCTTTAATAATATTAATTCAATGCAAACTTTGCAAAAATAATTAACGAAATGAAATCTTTATAAAAACAATTAAACAAGGAAGAAAAGGTGAATAAAAATATATTCACATATATCAAAATTATATTCACATTCACATAAAAATATATTCACATATAATAATGAATAAAAATATATTAACATATATCAAAAATATATTCACATAAAAATATATTCACATATATCAAAATATATTCACATAAAAATATATTCACCTATCAATTCACATTCACATAAAAATTATTCCACAAAAATAAAAATATATTCACATATACATATAAAAATATATTCACACAATATTTTAAAAGGAAATATTAAAAATGTATTGAAAGGAAATTTACATAATGTAAATAAATTTAATAAATTACAAAATAAATAGCTAATAAATAAATTAATAAAATTAATAAATAAATAACTTAAAACGGCCTCTTATAAGAATATATCCCGATTTTAAGACTGATTTTAAAACTTGAATGTACAGCCAGTTTCTTACTGAATTCTAGTTAGTAATTTTATTTAAATTCAATCATTTAAACTCAACTTACTTATACTCATCTTGTTAAAAAGTTTTTTGTCTTAATCCTTACTCGAGAAAAAGACGAATCACTTGCGCATTTATTAATTATTGTTAATTATCAGAAGTTAGTTTGTGTCCCCTTGAAAAGTCAACTAATTTCCGGTCAATGACGATAATTACTTAGTTTATTGATTACATTGTCTCACTTTTAACTATACTTTTGAATGTTTCCATTTAAATTTATTCAAGTTTCAGTTTTAAGTATGCTAATAAATTGCTTAATTTCAGTAGAGTTCTAACTACTTTTTCAATGGAGATAATATACTAAATAATCTTTTAGAAAATAAATTATTATATAAAACTTAGATAACCTTAAAATACCTGCTTTTAACAAAGCCTTTTAGTACTGATATAGTGTTTCTGCTGTAGTTTTCCTTTTGCTTTTAAATATCCAAAGTAATACAGCAAAGCAAATATCAAACCTAAATGCTTATCGCTAAACAACCTGTCTTCTAAAAGGCAGGTGTTACATTGTTGTTACGAGTGCAGTTGACACACGAATACACCTGCGCTATGGGGGTTTCAAATACAGCTTCCCACAAAGCACGCAAATCTGTATAACTAGCAAGAAAAGTCAATTTTGTCATCAGTTATCTTTAGAAAAGCACATTATCCATATGTGATTCCCCGCCATTGAGAGATTCGTGATTGCATTTTGAGGCAGGCAATCTATACCAGTCTTTTAATTATGCACTTGCAAACTAAATATGGTTCAACTTCTACGAATAAGGTATAATACATACGAATACATGAATAAAAATGAAGAAATATGAGCTTCACAATCCACTTCCGACAACTGACACTTCAAACTGAAAACTTGCAATATGAAACATGCCAGCCCATTCAAAATCCGAATCAATTTTTCAACATTATAATCATCCTTAGGAGAGTCTTGCAAAATTTTGCGCCCGTAACGTTTGTTACGTTACGTTAAGCTAAGTTTCGTTGCGTTATTTTACGCTACGATAATTTCTCAGAGTGCTGTAGTTCGGCGAAATGTACGATCCTTAAGTTAACTTTCACGTTCAATCTTTTAGGGCTTAACTCATTGAAGGATCGATAAGGTATTTTCTACCACCTCACCACATGTCTTCGTGGTGTGACCGGAAGCATTCTTGACGCGTATTCGTGAAGTCCGGAGCTCAAAGTTCGAATCCCAACGAAGGCAAATGCCGATTTCATCAGTTTCTTGACTTCGAAAAATTATAACATTTTCTACAAGCGGCGCTTGACAAAGACATGGCACATTTTTCACGTTCTTGCATCGATATAGACTGTAGCAAAGCCGTTCTCAATCTTTTGACTAATGCGTACCATCTAAACAAAAACTGAGAAACTTCAATTCCACAACTATATTTTACAACGATTACTTTTCAAATTCCCAATAGAAATATTTAAAAATATATATATATTTTGCCATTTGCACTACCTATTGACTATTTTTTGTATGCACACATAAAATGCACACATAAAAATGCTCGATTAAAAATTAGTTTTCCTTTTAATTATCAAAATTTAAGTTATAATACTTAAATTCTAAAATGTAGTGTAAAATTTGGATCTGTTTAAGAGAGATTAATTCCTTTACGTCTGGCCTTATCTCACTTAGCTTTAACCGTAAATTAGAATAGACTTTTCTTTCTGTATTTATTTTTCAAATATAACATGGAAGAAAATCCTTGTTCACACAAATAGGTTGTGCTATAAGGCAATAAAAATTTGATAGCTTTATTTGAGATGCCTTTATATTCTTTTTTTCCGTTCAACCAAAAGTTAACAAGTGTTCAACCAAAAGTTAAAAGTTAACAATTTTTGAAATCTTCGGTTCGAGTTCCATCACAGGAAATTTCTATCAGTTGTTCTTTTTCTTCACGAGATTTTTGAACCTGATAGTAAAATATATTTTATTTCTTTGCGTACCACGTATTTTTTTGCGTACCTTGCGTATCATATACAATTGTAAATGTATACAGTATAAAATAATATAAAAATTTCTTTTTTCCCTCTTTTATTTATTTAACTTATTTTCAATAATTGCAGTTCGCAATGTTGCTATTTAATGAACCTAATTCTATGCTTATCAGTTTTACAAGTGGTTTTATTATTAGATGTTAAATAAAAATAAAATTAGTAAGAAATACAAATGCTGTTTCTTAACTTACTCAGTATCTCCCACTAAACGCAATATATCTATAATTTAAAAAAAAAATAAAAAAAGGTCCTCTGTTTAGAGACTGCCAGCAGTTTTAGTATTGGTGATTTGATAAAAAAGCTAAATTAAAAATCTTCTGCTACAGCTTTGACAGCAGCTACAAGTATACGAGAGTTGGTAATCAATGAAGTTTCATGAAAGATTAATGCTATGATAGCGCATAGTATAATTCAACGAACATAATATGGCTCGGAAAATAATACTCGACTTTATTTATTACCAACG